TGTTTGTTCACCCCCTCAAGAACACTTAATATCTTCCCTTACAGAACCCATGCTGAGTCTGCCTCAATAGTTTTTGTTCATCAATGTGCCTACTAATTCTCTCCTTAATAATGGTTTCCACCAACTTACCCAGTATTGATGTCAGACTGACTGGCCTGTAATTTCCCGGATCTCCTCTGGAACCCTTTTTAAAGATGGGAATGACATTAGCTACTTTCCAGTCCTCAGGAATGGAGGCAGATTTTAAGGAAAGATTACATATTTTTGTCAGGAGATCCAGAAGTTCACATTTGAGTTCTTTCAGAACTCTTGGATGTATGCCATCCAGGCCAGGTGATTTATCAGTTTTTAAGTTGTCTATCAGTTGTAGGACCACCTCTCTCATCACCTCAATCTGACTCAGGTCTTTCAACACTCCTCCCAAAATCAGCAGTTCTGAAGTGGGCAAGCACTTCTCATCTTCCACAGTGAAGACAGAGGCAAAAAATGCATCCAGCTTCTCAGCCATTTTCCTATCATCCTTCAGTAACCCTTTTACCCTTTGGTCATCTAAGGGCCCCACTGCCTTCCTGGCTGGTTTCCTGCTTCTGATGTATTTGAAGCAAGTTTTATTGTTGGTCTTTATGTTATTTGCAATATGCTCCTCATATTCCCTTTCTGCCTGCCTGATCACAGACTTGCATTTTATTTGCCACAGCCTATGTTCCCTTTTATCAGCCTCACTGAGACTAGCTTTCCACGGCTTAAAGGAATCCTTTTAACCTTTTACAGTTTCCATTACTTTGTTTGTTAACCATGCAGACCTTTTTCTATACCTATTTGTGCCTTTCCTAACCTGCGGTATATATTTTATCTGAGCTTCTAGATTTGTAGTTTTAAATAGTCTCCAAGCTTCCCCAATGGTTTTGACCAGGGGTCATTTCGCACAATGCAGGAAATTCACCAATACCCCCACACACACCCCAGTGACCCCCGTTCCACGCCCAGAATATGATAAAAAAAAACAACCCTCCAGGATCACTGGGGGCCAAACTGGCCTGGAGAAAAATTGCTTCCTGGCCCCAAAGTGGTGATCAGCATTTCCCTGGGCATGTAAGAAAGGGCCACAAGAACTAAGCACTGATGCAACCCTTCCTGCTCTACCTCTCATGATTTGCCTAAGTTCACACAATCAGCATTATGATCCTTTTAAAGTTGAAAGCATGATATAAATGCAAAGGACTATTTGTAAGATTATCTGTAAGACACAAGACCAGGACGCATCTCACTTCTGGCAGTCACTTGGAGAGACGCTATCACTCAGCTTCCATTGCCCCACACACACCCCACACTGGAATAAGAACATAATATCAGGCCATACCACATTGCAATAAATAAAGCCCCTACAACTGTATACAGAAATACTGAGCTTTCCTAGCCCACCAAACAACCAGGATCAAGACTCCTAAGTGGACCAACAGACAGGCATACATTCGTTTGAGAAACTGAGTATTACATTACAACACCTCTGGAACATTACAGATCAGTAGAGGCAGCACTGCACAGTGGTTATAGTTGCAGATTGATGTGGGAAGACCCCAGTTTGTATTCTCACTCTGCTGGCTGAGTGACCCCGGGGCCAAATCTCCCCTTCTCTACCTAACCTATCCCACAGGGTTGTTGTGAGGATGAAATGGAGACTTATGGGCAGGGTCCCCAGCTTCCCTGGCAGGAACACTATGTTAAGAAATCTCTCACAATTATGCAGCCATAGCAGGCAGGAGGGAAGGAGGCGAATACCTCCAGCGCCAGAGACTTGTAGAGGAAGAGTCAAACTTTGGGGACTCACCCGGGCACCAGAGGGCCTAGGCAGCAGGAGGCAAGAAGCCTGGGAGAGCTGGGCTCCTCTATGCCTGGCAGAAGATGAGGTGCAGAGGCGAGAGGGTGGGCAAGCAGAAGAGGCACTCAGCCAGCCACACAAGCTGTGTGCAAAGAAACTCCCGCCGCCCCAAGCTCAGGGCTGCCTCGTTAAAGGAGTGCGGAGGCCAGACTCGCAAATGAGAAAAAGCAAGCTCAGGGTTCGTGGGTCGCATTTTGGGCTGTGGAAGAGGAACCGGCTCCATTCCTGGAGTTCTCTCGAGTTCCTGCACTTTTGGTTTTGCTTTTTGCCAATCTGCCTCCCAAGACTGCTCCAGGTGCTCCGGCCTGAGGGCTGCTGGGGGCAGGGCTCGAGTGCTCATTACTTGTGGAGCTGAGGCTCAATGTCTCCAGCTGCTCTGCCACCTTCCCTTCCCATGGTTTGCTCGGGGAGCCTGAGCAAGCCGGCTGCTGGAGGGAAGGAGAGGCGGTTTAAACCACCTTCCCTTCCCTTGCTCAGGATCCCCGCGGCTGCAGAAAGCCAGAGCAAGCCGGCTGCTGGAGGGATGTGCATTCGGTTCGACTGCACCTGGAGATCTCTTTATTATAGCTGATTTACAAAAAAAAACAAAACCCAAAACTCCCTTTATATCATGTTTTGGTAGTTTTTCATTCTTTCCCCTAACCCCTTTTCTTTCTTCTGTAAGTTCAAAAAGTTCAAAATAAAAATTATTTTTTTAAAAATTGTTATACTTGATCTCCAGATGTCCAAGATCAGTTCCCCTGGAGAAAATATCTACTTTGGAGGGTGGACTCTATGATATTATTCCCAGATGAGGTTTCTCCCTTCCCCCAAACCCTGCACTCCCTAGGCTCCACCCGACAAACCTCCAGGTATTCCCCAGCCCAGAAATGGCTACTGTATCCTCCAGCTCTCCAAGTAGCAGCAGCCTTTGAGGATGCTCAGCTAGCACTATGCACATGGTGCAAAAGGACACCAAAAGCTTGGGGGGGGGGGCTACTGCCCTACCACACCATGGATTCCTCACCAATAAGCAGTGTTCCCTCTAAGCTGAGTTAGTGTGAGCTAGTTCACTTTTTTCAGCCTCCGGCTCACACATTTTTGTCTTAGCTTAGGAAGGATGGCTCCAGAGCAAACTAATTTATGCAGTAGCCAAATTGCTCTCTCACAACTTTAATGCCAGTAGCTCACAAAGTAGTATTTTTGCTCACAAGACTCCACAGCTTAGAGGGAGCATTACCGATAAGATAATCATTACCTTTTTAAAAAACTTTAAACATCAGTGCCTACAACCACCCTGCTAGTGCTTACGTTTAATTTCCACTGCTACTTGAAGCACATGGTGCAATTCGCTTAATACTTCTGATTTTTAAGTACAAAGTTTAAAAATCACTAGGTTACAGCAACCATCCTGTGAAGTAGGTAAGGTTGAGAATGTAGGGTTGCCAAGTGCGATCTTCGCCACAGTGGGGGAGTTTTCCCTCGGATGGAGTTTTCCCTTGGATGACCGTGGCCCCACCCCCAGCGTGCCTGGTGTGGTTGCGTCACTTCCGGGTGACGTGCACGTTGGGGTGGGGTTCCCCCCGGGGCCCGATACGCCGGTGGTGGGGAATGGGCCTCTGGGGTGGGGTTTTCCCCACACCCTGGGGGGACTTGGCAAGCAGTTAGACCTTCAAAGTAGGGTCTGCAAGACCCAGGTTCAGATTCCCATCTTGCAGTGGAAGCTGGCTGCGTGATTTTGGACCAGTCACATATTTCAGCCTAACCAACCTCACAGGGTTGTTGTGCAGATAAAAAGGAGGAGGGAATAATGAAAGCTGCTTTGGTCCCCACTGTGGAGAAAGACTGTAATTTTCCTAGGTAGAGGCTGGGGGTGGAGATGAAAAGCAGAAGACAGAGAGGCAGATAAAGGTAAACTGGCTGTTAAATAAATAAATACATAGGGTTGCCAACTCCAGGTTGGGAAATTCCTGGACATTTGAGGGGTGGAGCAGAAAAAGAGAGAGAAAGAGTGATGAAGTGGGGAGGCAGAAAAACAATGAGAAAGATGACAGGTCAGAAAGAGAGAGGAAGTCACATGTATGGAGGAGAAATAGAGAGCAAGAAAAGGGGGGCAGAGGGGAAAAATGGTGTGAGAGAGGTAGGGGTGAGGAGAGGAAGCAAAGGTGTGATGAATGAGATAATCCACAAGTTTCTTGCGGGCCTCCACTTGTGTAAATATATTTGTAATATATCTGCTACTTTATACCTCTTTATGGGTTTCATATAGTATTTAGTGTTTTAATCTTAGATTTATTATTGTAATGTGCACTGTTTTAATTTTGAACCACTTTGAAGACTTAAGTGGAAAAACCTTATATGAATATTTAAAATGAAAAAAACAAAGCAAAAAGCATAGAGTCTATTAAGATTAGCCTTGTTTGTTATTTGTTTGATATATGATCCAGCACTAGATATCCAGATACTCTTTTTAATAATTGAAATGTGTCTTCTATTTGATCAATAAAATACTGCTTTACACAATTGAGAAAATCATTTGCCCAGAAGGAGTTCTCAATAATAGAGTGGTCACTGAGTTCAGCTCTGGTCAAACATAGTTTAAACAACAACAACAAAACAGGCTAACATTTTCAGCACCTTCTGTAGTCACCCACACAGAATTTCTAACAAAATCTGTCCTGTCCTGGAGAAACTGGAACAGTTAACATCTTTGCGTTGCTTAGCAACATTGGTTGCCATTTTAAGTCTGTAATACTTAAAAGTAATTGAAACTTCAAGAAAAAGCAGTTAGAAATGGCATCTGTATGGCCTAGGTGATAGTACCACATGTGAAGAAATACTGGGAAGAGCCCATTATACAGTCTGCATCATTTTCTTTTATTGTGGTAAATATGAAAATATTGCTATTTGACTCCTGGAAGTAACACATGCTGCCAACCAGTGTTTGGAATTGTAGCCAGTACATGGAATAGTTACCTTCCAAGAAAAAGGACACAAGGAAAACATGCAGGTCCTCCCCCTTCGCCCCAACACACCTTCATTATTTCCCTGATGCCTAATAATGTGGTTTTGGCGCTAGTGGCTGTTACTTAACTTACATTCTGAAATGTGGGTTGTTTTCCTTGACGAATTCCCTGTGCACCTGGTTTGAAAGGGCCAGTATGCTGGTGATTCTCCTGAACTGTGTTACGCTGGGCATGTTTCATCCGTGTGAAGATACGGACTGTGATTCCCCACGCTGCAAGATTCTCCAGGTACAGGCATTTTCTATTTTTGTATTATGCTGTAGAAACAGTACACTTGTGTTCTTAACAAGAAACTTCTTATTTGCAAAACTGTCTGGAAGGACCAAAGTAAGTTTGGCAACCTCCAGGTGGGGCTTGGAAATTTCCTAGTTTCCAGACAACAGGGATGAATTCCTCCCGAGAAATGGCTGCTTTGGAGGGTGGGCTTTATGACATTATCGCCTACTGACCTTCTCCAAGCCCCCCCCCCAAAAAAAAAATCTTTAGGGATTTCCTCATCCAGAGTTGGAAACCCTACTTTACCAAATATTCTTCCCAGGGCTTTTTTTGTAGAAAAAGCCCAGCAGGAACTCATTAGCATAATAGGCCACACCCCTGACAGCACAGCTCATTTCATATTAGGCCACCCCCCATGTTACCAGAAGTGTGGTCATCCAGCCACACCCACCTTTTGCTTCTTATTCTCTTTACCTTGTTTGTTGTCAAAACCCAGGGCTTTTTGCATGTTAGGTCACGCACCTCTAATTGTAGCCAATCCGAATGAGTTTCTGCTGTTGGGTGTGGCCTATTATGCTAATGAGTTCCTGCTGGGCGTGGCCAACTTGGGAGCCAGCCGGAACTCCATTCCTATGCGTTCCTGCCCCAAAATAGCCCTGCTCATGGTAGAGGACTCAAAGCAGATAGCCACATTTCAGTGTGACTCTCATCTTTTCTCATTCCTGTCCCATGAATACATTTTTATAGCTGTTCCCTTTGAAGTTTGGTGACATAGTTGGCAACCCTTTCCGCAGTTGGCAACCCTTTCTGCAGAAGAATATGTGTAGAATAATTACTTCCCTGAGGTCAGCTCCCCCAGATAGTAAACTGCTGCTGATTCAGAATCTAGATCTTAAACACCAGATACACCTTCTTGTTTCACTTCTTTATCTTCCAGAGTTTTGATGACTTTATCTTTGCCTTCTTTGCTGTGGAAATGATAATCAAGATGATTGCACTAGGGATTTTCGGGAAGAAGTGCTACCTGGGCGACACATGGAATCGTCTGGATTTTTTCATTGTCATAGCTGGGTAAGTAATAACTTAGTTCTCAAGAAAAAGGCAGCTTCCTGCTTACAAAACAGTTTGAGGCAAATTGTGCTCATATTTCCTCCTCCTCAAACATGAACAAAGCAAATAAAGTAGAATGAGGATAGAAAATGCCTAAATAGTAGCGGGCGTAACAAAGACCCTTGTTTTCCAATTACTTATGTGATGAAATGACTTCGCCCTATGTATCTGTATAAAATGTACAACTTTGCAAGGTGACTTTGCAGCCTGGGAATGTTCGGAGGCTAAACTAAAATTGCCTTGACAAGTAGTCAGAAAGTTACAGAGCAAGTTTTATATAGAGAATAGAGATGCCAGCCTCCAGGTGGGATCTGAGGACCCTCTAGACTACAGACAACAGTTCCCCTGGAAAAAATGGATGCTTTGGAGAGAGGATTCTATGGCATTGTATTATGTATGTTTTTATCATGTATTTATGTCATTGGAAGCCGCCCTGAGCCTGCTTTGCGGGGAGGGTGGGGTATAAATCTGACAAGAAAGAAATATAAATAAATAAAACATTCACTAAAACCTAAACACTAGCGAATGCTCCACAGTTCCCCCTAGGGTACAAGTGGACTAGACTACTGAAAAATCGCGGATACATTTGGGATACCAAAATGTATCCAAAAATACTGATAAGATGGTTTTCAGGTGTATTTTCTGTTTGGGTAGACCTGAATGCACACCCCTAGTTAGGAACCAGCAAGATTGTCGCACTGGGGAGACCTCATTGTTTTCTTGCTAGCTCCTCTGGCTGTCAGTTTTGCCTTGCTCATTAAGAACACACCCAGTGTTAAATTGTCTACCTATTTACAACCATTTTTCTTTGCCTGTTTGATTATTGCCTTGTTTTCCCAAAACCCATTGGTTCTTCTAACTTGCCTGTGTCCTGATGCTTCAAGCTTGGTTTTATGCTTGGCAAAGTCTACTATTAGAAAGGTTAGTGTGGCCAGCTCTTGGTTGGGAAATTTCTGGAGATTTGGTGGCTGGAGCCTGCGGAGAGGAGGGTTTGAGGAACCGAGGGAACTCAGTGGGATATAATGCCATAGAGTCCACACTCCAAAGCCACGATTTTCTCTAGGGGAACTAATCTCTGTTGCCTGGAGATCATGTGTAATTCCAGGAGACATCCAGGCCTTACCTGGAGGTTGGCAACCCTAGAAGGGGTGTTGCTCAGAAGGGAGGGGTGCTCTGGGCCCTCCCTAGTCGGGATCCCCTTAAGACCAGAGTGGTTGCAACACAGAAGGACCTTGACTGTTTTCATGACACATTTTTTTTCCTTTTTCTGAAATTGGTATTGTGGTTAGTCTTAGCACCCACATATAAAAGCCTAAGTTGGCATATACTTACCAAGATTTTCGGTTATTCTATGGCATACTCAATTGCAAACATCTCACTGGAGATATATGAGGGGTTTGCAACCCTCGGTTTTTGGGGGGTGGCAGTGGTGGAAACTTTGTACAATCCTTTGGGTTTCCTAAGCAGATGACTTTGCAGTAGTTCTCCGGGCCTGTTGAGCTAAAAGGGCAGGTTGTGATTTATAAGGACTTATGGAAGCTGAGTGTGCATAATCAGAGTAGTTTTAGGGATTGTTTGGGCAAAGGGAGAGCAATATGTTCTCAGCCAATTAAATTTGCCATTCCTTATAACCAAGCCAAACTGCAGTGTGTTCCTTGTTTAGTCCCTGCAATCTCCAGGTGCAGGGCTGGAAAAGACCTTTGCCTGAGACCCTGGAGAACTGCGGCCTGTCAGAGTAGTTCGTACTGGGGTAGTTGGACCAAAGGTCTGATTGTGTATAATGTTCCTAGTAAAGGTGGGTGGTTTCTGCCTGAGGGAGCAAAATGTCTTAGTCTCACAGTGCCAAGATACGTAGATACTTCATTCCCTTTTCTGTATTCACGGAGGCAGCCCTGTGTATTCTGAGATCACCCAGGAATTCATGTGTCGGAAGAAACATCCCTCGGCAGCAATCCACCATCATGTCACTACCAGATTAAAGAACAAGTATTGTAAATAAAGGCATGACATCAGCTGCTATAAGCTGCTTTGCTGGCCATGTGGTAAACGGGCTGTGTGGACAGTGTCCTTGTCATCCACCATGGCAGTCTCAGCCCCCAGCAGCACTTACAGTGTTAACTTTTGCAGACAGCAGCAACAAAAGAATGTCACAAAACCCGCTTTCCTTTGTTCCCTGCCAGCCCGTGTGCTTTCCATACTGTAAGGTCTTTTGCTCCACAGTTTTGGGCGGACTCAGCTGGCACTCTGCTCAAGTATTTTCTCTGGCTCCAGAAATATTGGTAGTCTCAGTTTCATGCAGATTGTCCAAATGGATGAGGTTTCAGCAAGTTTGTTTAAAGCACAGAGCTGTGTTCCAAAAAGGGAATATTTTAGTCAAAATGTGCGTGATTGCCCTTTTGTTTTGAGGGAACGAGACCAAATTTTTGCCTTTCATGAAGTGTTTTTCTTTCAGAGGCACCTGGTTTAAATTAAAGGCTCTTTCTAGCACCCAAGAATTTCCTGGCAGAGGCTTGAAATCCACATGAAAAGTTCCTGGCTTCTAGCCAATAGGGTTAAGTTTCCTTAGCACATAAAGCGCTCGGAGGCCCTCTCCTCACCTTCCTATTCATACAGAGTGCCCAGAGTCTATTAGGGTTCTGCCCATACTCCCACACCCCCTCCCATGTAATTAACTGGAATTTCCTGGAATCTGCTGGAGGATTTTAGAAATAAACCACATCTTCAGCATTTTCCCAGGTTAGGAAGTCAGTGGCAAAAGCTCTTCCGGGCTACTAGAAGGAGCCATGATGGCTGTATCAAAGGTGTTGTGTGCTTGTACTACTGATATACAATATGAAGGGAAAGCAGAGTACTAATAATAGTTCTCAGCATTTGTATAGCCCTTTAGAGTGTTGAAAGCATTTCACTAACATTATCACAGAAATGTATTTATTTATTTATTATTACGTTTATATCCCGCCCTCCCTGCAAAATTGTAAGAATGACTTGGAAGATGCTAGAATCCTGACAAGAGCATTAATAAAATCTAGATAGGTCTCTTCTCATTACTGTAATGATGCTGATGAACTCTAATGAGGTGTACCGTCACTAAGCAGAGAGGAGGAGCTACCCCACTCAGCTCCTAGGGGACCAGTGCCACATTAAAGTTTTTAACTATTTAACATACTAAAAGAGATCTTGATGTATGTCAAGAGGGATGGGCTACAGACATTGAGGTCTGAAATGAAAGACTGATGAGGCCATTATACTCCTGTCCCCAGTCCCTACTATCAAAAGCAAAGGCTTGCAAAACTCCCCTGAAAGGCAACTCTTCTCTCACCCCAGAATGCAACTGGTCACAAGACATCGCCAAACTCCTTTGAGCAACGACTGGCATTGGTCAAGTTCTTAGGCTAGGAAGATGAGTAAATGTGTGTAGCAAAGAGAGTGGAAGGAGACTTCCAGCTCTTTCATTCAGCTGTATAGCTTGGAACCTGTCACAGCCCCCCCCCCCCAATAGGGCAAATTAGCCACATTTGGGGATGGGATGCACTTTTCCTCAAGTAGAGGCTAAAAGTGTTCAGATATGTGTAACCTGGATCCTGGATATGTACAGTTGAGCTGCAAAGTTACATATACTTTCAGGTGCTGGCTGCCTTTTAGAACTCAGTTGCATCATGCTAATTGTGAGAATACAGCTTCAGATCTCGGATATGCCCTAGAATAACTCTGAAGAATGTGGGGCATGTTTGTATGTGCGTGTCTCTGTCCTTCTTCAATGTCTGAGTTGCATTGCCCTTTTTCTCACCAGTACATCCAGAGTGTCGCGTGCAAAGAAGGCAGCATGTAATTCTGAACATGTGCTCTGCTGGCTGAGTTGAAACCTAGCCTAGGTTTCCCTCCTAGGCTTTCATTTGTCCTGTTTAGCACAGTTCTAATAATGTCTGCAGTACTGTCTTCTTGCCGGGCTTTTGGGGCCCATTAAGACTGTGCTAGAAAAACCAGTTTGAGCCAGTTTGGTGCAGTGGTTAGAAGTGTGGACTCTAATCTGGGAGAATTGGGTTTGATTCCCCACTCCTCCACTTGCAGCTGCTGGATGACCTTGGGCAAACCATAGTTCTGTCAGAGCAGTTCTTCAAAGAGCTCCCTTAGCCCTACCTACCTCACAGGGTGTCTGTTGTGGGGTGGGGGGAGGGAAAGGAGTTTGTAAGCTGCTCTGAGACTCTGAGTGAAGGACAGGGTATAAATCAATCTTCTTCTAACATACCTTGCAAAGGTCAGCCTTCTAATAAATCTTCTTCTAACATACCTTGCAAAGGTCAGCCTAGACAAAATCTGCCTTGGTTGGGGCTATCCCCACTTTTTGTTTAGTGATGATCTTTGCCTACAGCATGAAAGCAGATGCAACTGGCCTGTGAGTGACTGCAGACAATCTTCTGGGAAGAGAGTTGGCTTGAGAGTCCACAGTGTTTGTTTGGGTTTCTTGGATATCTCATGAGTTATAAATCAATCCAGGAATTCCTTTTCTTGAGTGAGGCCAGCAGGTTTTACAGTGAAAGGTGACAGTGGCATACCCTATCAGACCAAGAGCTCATTGAGACATAGTATGCATATTTCCTAACCTATGGGCACGATCACACGCACAATTAGCCGTGCCATAGGAGTGAATGCCGGGCAGATTTAAAGGGTGCGATCAGACACGAACATCTGGAAAGCGCCCAGCACCCGTAGGCAACCTGTTTTGCTCAGCTGCAGAAGCGGATTTAAAAGACACCAGGGAAAGTCCGGTAGCAAACGGGTTGCTATGGGCCACGGATGGACTTTCCCCTGTCTGATCGCTGCAGCGCACTCTCATGGCATCAGGATGGTCTGATCAGGCCATCCTGACTCCATACCATTCCCCCCCCCCTTTTTAGTATGTGCATCATCGCACACTCCATAGGGAGCCCTCATGCTGAGATGCAATTCATCGATTCCCTGTT